TAGATAGATAGATAGATAGATAGATAGATAGATAGATAGATAGATAGATAGATAGATAGATAGATAGATAGATAGATAGATAGATAGATATTATGGTCCATACAGAACAATAATTGTATGGATTTGCGTCAGGGATTGTGAGGTAATGCTTGTGAAATGTCTTAATAGCATTTTATTTATTTTATTATTTCTTTATTGAGCTCGTATGGTGCCAAATCTGTTTAGACTCATGGAAAATTACCCCCTCCCCCAAAATTAAAACCATTAAAATGTTTGTGGTAGGACATAACAGTTCGAACCAATAACATCTCATGGTAAACAATGTAAACACTAGTGAATACTAATAGATCCACAGCAAATGGTAAAATGGCAACGCCTCCAGAGTAACCTTTGATATCATAAATATCATTGTTAAATAAAGGGAGTCTCATAGTAGAACCGCAATCCCATAAGACATAGTCCACAGCTACAAGCTGGCTCTTAACACCAAACCACCGTCCAGAACAGGCCCCTCTTCTCTGCTTTGCAGGAGGCCAGTTTTAAGGGGTTACTACTGTAATATCATTTTCTTCTTTTATTCATTACCAAAATACTCGTGCAAAATTCATCAGTCCATAACAAGTTTTAGGTTATTCATTTTATAACCTATTAAGAGTGAATGAGTTTATCATTAAAAACTGAACAAGATTTGTTTTTCATGATCAGAAGTGGTGTAAAGATGTACTTTTCATTGTTCATGGAAAAATGTAGAATCAAAATGTTCTAAAGTTACAACTCATTTGAAGAGTAAATTGTTTATTTGATTAGAATAATGGATTAGAAATTACCATAACTTTCTTGAGATAAAAAGGTACTATTTACGTGTATTTATCAGTTCATCGCCGAATGAGACTTTTTCTGCTGCTGTGGGCTGAAGTGAGAAATAGCAATGTATTATTTTCACATGGGTACATTTAGCAATGCTCTTTGTAATAAATGAATGTGTCTTTCAAGACAATTAAGTATAATTAATTTTTCATGCATCTGAAAATGGCTTAAAGAAAATGTAATGGTGGAATTGCTAAATTAAGCCAACATGTTCATGTTCTTCTTTCCCTGCTGCTTTCCTTGAAGTCTCCTTCCAAGTGGTTTTGGAAACTGGTTCCTGTAAGTTTGCCGTGTTGCTTTATTTCGATTCATTAGCTTAATGTTGTATCAGCTGCTTTGCCAATGTAATGATAGTCCAAACATGCTTTTCATGTCTGCCTCTTTTCCCTACTCAATGCCTTTTAAGTAAGATGCACACACCTCCAAAGGAGATAGCGGCTATAATTTAAGATACTCTGGAATCCTGTTGGTCCCATCACCCACCTGGCCCCATTATACTTCCAGCTGAACAAATACCACCCCAGTGTCTATTTCACAATTTTCAGGAGTAAGGAGTAAATGACTTACAATGCAAGAGAGAGGGGGGGGGAGGAAGGGTGATATGATATATTGTTACAATTGCTCGTTTATTATATTTGCTTTAAACACATAATTTTCTACAATAAAAATTTTCACTTCCAAACAAGCTTGGCAGTAGACCTAAGCTCATTTTATTTCTTTAATCTTAATGTCGTGGTTTATACTATCAATTTTGAAAATGAAGAAATCTACACATTCGACAGATTTATTTTACTAGGGAGGGGAAATTTTTGGAGGGAGGATAAATTGTTCTAACGTGTCAGAAACAGAAAGTAGTTGTTATAAAAGATGAAATTCTGTGTTATTTTGGTATGTGTTTATGGGATACCCATATACACATTGAGACACATATAGCATAGTGTTCTGACCCCCCTCGTCCCACACCAACACACTCCCAGCCAAAGATAAGTTACGGCATTTAATTAACAGACAGACAGGTCCTTGGCAGCAAACCGGCACAGACAAGCTTGGGCAGCAATCCAGCCTGCCAAGCTCACCATAATGTTCTCCCACATTGATTCCTGCATTGACTTCTGCAAAAGGGGCGTGCGCACAAGCTGTCCTTTTATAGTCTGGAGAGGAGCCTAATGACCACCAGCTGAGTGCAATTACCTCCTGTAACTGTGCAACTGTTCCTGACGCCTATTAGCTCTTTGGTGCCGGGCATCCAGGAACAACTCGCTGCTGGCGTCCAGCTCACTCTCCCTTGTCTCCTCCCCACTGGTCCAAGGCTCAGGTGCCTCCTGGTGGCCAACCAGCCTCTCTGTGCCCTGCTTGGAATCGGAACCCTGTCCATATGCATCTTGAGTGTTTTGGAAAAAAATTGGAAGACATAATATGAAATAAATGGGAATGAAATATATCCTTAAATGAGTTTTTGGGGACTGGTGACAGAGATATTCTGTGTGAGCCTAATCGTAACCTGCCCCGTTTTACATGCCATTGCTCATTTCTGTTGCTCTGTTGATTCTGTTGATCTCTTAACTCCTTAAGTATGAATATTAATGGCCTAGAAAGATTGTGTTGGTGTTAGAGAAACTTGATTAAAGACTGCAACGCTGCCGAATGGAACTGTTTAAATCTACATAAATTATGAAAATCAGGTGTGGTTTGAAAAAATTGGATTTTGTTTTTTGTAGCTATTTAGTTTAAGAGTTTCCAGCATATCACTCTTTGTACCAATGTTTCTGGATGGTTTTCTTCTTTTTATACGACAGGCTCGATACCGGAAGGAACAAACTCTGCTTAAGCAGCTGCCTTGTGTTCCCTTGGTGGAAAACCTGCTGAAAGATGGCAGAGATGGATGTGCTTTAGCTGCTCTCATCCATTTTTACTGCCCAGAGATTGTTAGATTAGAGGGTAAGTCTGCTTGATTACAATTAGCCTGTTAACCAGACCTTAAACTAGCCTGATTATTATTTTAATAATATTTTAACTGAATCTTTACTTATTTTTCCAATTTGTTCATTGATATTAAGCCAGAGTTCATCGGCTCAGGCATAACAGAATCATGCTTTAATTTCAAACTAGAATATTTGTGCTATCCTTGTTTGGCTTTAGTATAAAAATTCCCAGTTTAATGAACTGAGGTTTTATGAAGTTGGGAAGTTCAAAGTTTAATTAATTTATATGCCGCCCAATCCCGAAGGACTCCGGGCGGCTTACATAAAAAACAACTCTAAAAAGAATACTAAAAATTAAGATAGAGAGGGAAAGCAGGTTAAAAAAAACACATCATGCACTCAATCTTAGTGGAGCTGGACCTCATTCATGAGGTCAACAGCCCCAGGCCTGCCGGAATAGCCAGGTCTTAGTAGACTTTCGGAAGGCCGAGAGAGTGGGGAGGGTCCGGATCTCTGGGGGTAGATCGTTCCATAGGGCCAGAATAGGAATAGGTGTCCTCACCAAACCAGTGCGGTTCAACTGAAAGTTTAACTCTCAATTTAAATAAAATACACATTTAACTTTTTTTTCTGTGAGATTTTTATTGTGGCAGCATGTTTAATAAACTAATATTTGAAATTACCAGATATATTTTAAAAATCTATTTTTATTTGGGTGTGACAATAAATAATTCCTTAACAGAATGGCAACAGACTTTTCATAAGTCTCTGGCTTATAGCCCCCCCCCGTCCCCCCCCCAGTGCCTTTGCCATTCCTTCAGCATGATTATTGCTGTTCTAAATTAATCCCAGCTTTATATTTTGCTTCAACTATAAGAGAAACAAACGAACTGCAAGCATGATTAATAAAGGTTATTTTTTTTAAAAAATAGACAATATTAATAGCAGTTTAAAATCTGTACGTAAGTAAACCCCTCCCCCCCAAAAAAATTATAGAAATAAAACTGATTGCCTCTTCACTATCTCATAGAGAAGATGAATGGGAAAAAGGCAATTTGGTTGCTTAGCAGTAAATAATTACTACTAAGTAGGTTTCCCCTGGTCAAAAGTCAGCAATTTAATGAAATTAACATGCGAATGGTTGCACAGCGCCAAGTACACCACTCATTTGTTCTTGCTTTCACGGAGACATGTAAACAAATTAATAGGAATCAAGGATTATGATTAACTGCCCTTGCAAATTGACTTCAAACCAGATTTTGCTATTAGTTTAGAATCCCTTTTTGAATACACTCACTTAACCCTAATGGTTGGTCAAGCCGTAGAAAAGTATCCCCCTTTCAGGTTTTTTAACTATTTATTTACTAAGAAGTGAAAGTGAATTGAAAAGCACATGGTGTTTTTGTGTCTTGATTTGTGAAGTATGTTTTTAGTATTCGGTGTCATCATTTCAAAGTATTGATATCTATTAATGTGTACCGAGCTGGTTTGGTGTAGTTAAGGCACAGGCTATAAACTGGGAGACTTTTGAGTTTTAATTTCATCTTAAGCACATAAGCCAGTTTGGGGAACCTTCAACCCGTCCCTTTCTCTCAGCCCTAAGAAGAAGCAGGAGGCAGTGGCAAACCACTTTGAAAACTTTGCCAAGAAGTTTTAAAACTCTTGTCCAGGCAGTCACCAGGACTCAAAAGCTGACTTGAAGGCAGCAAAAAAAAAGTCCAAAAGTATAATTCAACAAAATACAAGTCCATTGTTTTATTTTCTGCATCTAGTAGTTTCATTGTTTACAAAATCAATAGTTTAAAGGAGTTTACCTGACTGTGAATTGGCTTTGCTGTGAATAAAACCCTACGTGAGGAGTCCTTGGCAAACGTTTCATTACCCAAAGTAGGTAACATCCTATAGTACAGTGGTTCCCAAACTTGGCAACTTTAAGACTTGTGGACTTCAATTTCCAGAATTCTCCAGCCAGCTCTGCTGGCTGGAGAATTCTGGGAGTTGAATTCCACAAGTCTTAAAGTTGCCAAGTTTGGGAACCACTGTACTATAGTATATAGCATATTAGAAATGAATTCTGGTTTTCAATTTGTTTCTGAATATTGGGAATTGTAGAGCCACTGTCGTTTTTTCTCCCTCTCCATCATATATAGATATCTGTTTGAAGGAAACCATGTCGCTGGCTGACAGTTTGTACAATCTGCAATTGATCCAGGAATTTTGTCAGGAATACTTAAACCAATGCTGCCATTTTGCACTGGAAGATATGTTGTATGCTGCTTCTTCAGTAAAGGTAATGCAAAACACGATAGCTGTAGTAGTTGGTTTATTCTCTCCAGAGCTGTGTAAATGCACTCAGGTACAGTTCCACCACAAAACCGCGGTAGACTAAAGCGCGCTCGACGAAAGCGCGTACGTGACGTCATCACAGCGCGACGAAAACATCGCGTTGTGAGCGGTAAATTTAACATTAACGCGAAAACCTTACCTTAACCCCCCCAAACCTAATCCTAAACCTAACCCTTAACCTAACCCTAAACCTAACCCTAACCCTTAAGCTAACGCTAAACCTAACGCTAACCCTTAACCTAACCCTAAACCTAACCCTAACCCTTAAGCTAACGCTAAACCTAACGCTAACCCTTA